CAGGTGTTTTCAGAAAGTTAGTGATCTATCCAGTGTACTTCGTTAGAGTTATTACATTATAAAATATGATTCTGGAACTTCGCTGAAGGCTGGTAATTTGTGTACCTATTGCTGAGGTGGAATGTAGCTATTTCTGTTTTTGTTAGGCTTGCAGGAGGTGCCATTTTTGAAGTCATTGAGCTTCTGGAGATCTTGAGAAAGGCTATCCTCTGCATCACTGAAGTTTGTTCCTTGGGTTGTGAGATTGATAACATCAGCAAAGATAAATTTCTGAGAAACATACAACATAGAATAATAGGGTTGGGAGGGACCTTGGAGGTCTTCTATTCCAAGCCCCTGCCCATGGCAGGAGATCCTATACCATTCCATACTTTCTTTGAGCTTGATGGGATGAATACACATGATCATAGAAAGAATAAAAGAACAGAATAGAGTTGGAAGGGATGCCGGAAGTCCTCCAGTCCAACCCTCCATCCAAGCAAGAGACCCTATACCATTTCAGACAAACGGTTGTCCAGTCTCTTCTTAAAAACCTTGAAAACAGCTTCAGGCAGGTCATGGATATACAAATTTAAAAGAGCAGGTAATAGCACTGATCCTTGTGGTAGTCCATTATTCAACTTACAATACATGCTTCTATTGAATTCTGTGAAAACGTGAAATAACCTGTTAGTCAACATGTTGTCAGTCAAGGCAATGGTGTTATGACAAGTTATAACCTTGATTAGTTTGAGAAGTCCTTCTCTCCAGACAGAGGTCAAGAAAAACGGAGGTATTTTTCAGTATCTATGATAATATATTATCTGACCATAGTTTCCTCAATTCAGTTTTCTGGTTGACACAGACTAAGAACACAGACCTGGTTCAAACAACATACTAGTCTAAATCTGGCCTGACCAATTTGCAGTTGAAATCATACAGTCACAAAACAGTAGTGGTGATCTGAGAGCTTGTTGTGAACATATTAAAAGCTCAGAAATCAAATATATCATTTTATTGTTGAACCAGAGTTTATGGATATTTTAAAAACAACTTTATTAATTTTTTTTAAAAAAGACAAAATACAAAATAACAAAAAAGGGGAAAGGGGCTCAAAAGAGGAAAGTTTATGGGCATTTTTTACTAAAAAAGTAGCAATTTTATTCTTTGGAAATTAGATTAGATCTGATTCTAGACCATTGAAGGATGATCTTCCAACACTTGCTTTATACTCCCGCCCATTCGGACCAGAAAAAAGTGCAGAAGGGGCTGGATTCTTTATAAAACCGTAAAGCTGCCATATTTGATGGCATGTACCCGAACTGCTGAAGAACTGTGGGCCAACAACTAAATGTTGGCTTGCTTCTTTTTTAGTTCTATATTATACTGCCTCCTATATTCAGGAAGACCAGAATTACTGCAATTTTGAAACCAGGGAAGGATCCAAACCTTCCCCAAAGTTACAAGCCAATTGCTCTTCTCTGTGTCAGCTACAAACGTTTAGAAAAACTTGTGTCAAACAGAATAGTCCTAGCAATAGAAACTGTAATCCAAGTAGAACAAGCTGGATTTTGCCCAAAATGTGATTGTAGTGATCAACTAATTTCCTATCTGGAGAATGGATTCCAAAGGAAAATAAGTTTTTTTCTTATTTAAAATATTGGCAGGTCTAACCATTACATTAAGCCATTATTGTAGCCATGGTTGGTTGAATAAAACATTACAGGAAACTAGGTTCATACACTGTATCCTTTGAAGGAATATCTAATACTGTATTAATTTAGCTTGTATGAATCCACTCAGCATGGAATACAGACAATGTTTATGGTTTGCAAATCATATTTAATCATGTTTTCTCAAATCCAGTTTTCTAAGTTTGCAGGAGCATAAATCAAACACACAAGCTTACATGGTTAACTAATTTCTGATTCAGTGCATTGTGCAAACTAAGAGTTATTTTACCTTTAGTGATAAAGACAGTCAGAACTCTTAAATAGTTGTGTACTCTCCTTTTACTCCCTTCTTTCTCAAGATTAGATCTCATTTCCATCTCCTTCATTTATATTCCATGATTATTTTTTCCTGCAGTTCTCAGTTTTTAAAGCATGATCATTACTTGGGCTGAAAATCATATTATTAAATTGGATATCCTTCTTCTTTCAAATGTATTCTGGCAAATGTATTCTGTATCTTTTCAGTGACATTCTTTGGCATTTCCAAAATAAAGGCATGTGCATTTAACTAAATACCTCTGATTCCAGGAAAATGCTGCTTCTAAAAAGCTTACCCATTTATGTTCCTTGCCTGATCTCAACAAAATATTTTTTTCCTTAGCTGTTTGCTGCATTTGTCACACTAATTTTTATCATTTCCCTTTCATGTCTGGTAAGATAGGAGTATAAATTGGAGTAGAGCAACTAAGATGATCTAAGGCCTGGAGACTAAAACATGAACAGCCGCAGGACTTGGGTTTGGCTAGTCTAAAGAAAAGAATAGAGGTGACATGATAGCAGTATTCCAGTATTTGAGAGGCTGCCACAAAGAAGAGGAGTCAAATTATTCTCCAAAGCACCAGAGGGAAGGACAAGAAACAATGGTTGGAAACTGATCAAAGAGAGAAGCAACCTGGAATTAAGGAGAAACTTCCTAACAGTGAGGACAATTAACCAGTGGAACAGCTTGCCTTCAGAAATCGTGGATGCTCCATCACTGGAGGTTTTTAAGAAGAAACTGGACAGTCACTTGTCTGAGATAGTATAGGTCCTCCTGTTTGAGCAGGGGGCTGGACTTGAAGATCTCCAAGGTCCCTTCCAGATTCTATTCTATTCTATTCTATTCTATTCTATTCTATTCTATTCTATTCTATTCTATTCTATTCTCCTTAGGATAGGATGAAGAGACATGTTAAGAACAAGGATAAGTGAGGTGGAGCTTTGAGTACCAGTTCATTTGGGAACTTCGAGACCGCCTCCTGCCACAGATTACCTTCGAGACCGCCTCCTGCCACAGATTACCTCCCACCGACCTGTATGCTCCCACAGAGTGGGTCTCCTCGGGGTGCCGTCAGCCAGACAGTGCCGGCTGGCGACCCCAAGGGGTAGGGCCTTCTCTGTGGGAGCTCCCACCCTCTGGAACGAACTGCCCCCAGAGATCAGGGTGATCCCTGATCTCCCTTCCTTCCGCCGCGCCCTCAAGACGTGGTTGTTCCAGCTCGCGGGACTGGCCTAAGGNTAAATAAATAAATAAACTTGCTGTGAATTCCCACACTTTTCTGGGACTAACAGAACACCAGTTGGAAGGGACCTTGGAGGTCTTCTAGTTCAACCCCCTATCCAAGCAGGAGACCCTATACCATTTCAGACAAATGGCTGTCCAATCTCTTCTTAAAAACCTCCAGTGATGGAGCACCCATAATTTCTGGAGGCAAGCTGTTCCACTGGTTAATTGTTCTCATTGTCAGGAAATTTCTCCTTAGTTCTAGATTGGGTCTCTGCTTGATAAGTTTTCATCCAATGCTTCTCAGGTGCTTTGGAGAAAAGGTTGACCCCCCCTTCTTTGTGGCAGCCTCTCAAATATTGGAACACTGCTATCATGTCACCCTTAATCCTTCTTTATAACAGAGTGAGATATCAAATTTCTATGAATATCGACTATATCATTTTGGGTTGCAGATTAGGATTAAACATGTCTGAATGTTCTCCTTGAAGCTGTTTATCTTTGGGGAGCGGGTTTCTGGGATTTAAAAAGATCCAGATTTTACTAGGTTAGCTTCTTAGATGCCCGAAACTTTAAATGGATCAGTGTTTAACTACACAGTCAATTCGCTTCATACTGAATGGACACAACTCCAGTTAGAACCATATCAAGTGAGTCTGCATAAGGCATTGTTTAGGATTTAAAACATACGTAAACAACCATTTTTCCACCTTGTGCAGGAAGTACTGACACAAATTTTCTTATCAAAGGCTGTAATAGTGTAAAGGCAGCAGAGAGAAATAGACAGTGCTACATGGGAAATGAGAATGATGTGCCTGTTCCTGGAAAGTGTTATTTTAGCTATTGCTTCTCCAGCGTTTGAATCAATTCCTTGGCAAAGCTTTTCTCTTAATTACAGGAAGGAATGTCGAGAAGGTCCATAAATCCAGGCTTTTTACAGCCTGTCCTCCTTTCCCAGCACCTCAAAGCTGTTCAACTGCCTGTTGAACTGATAGAAGTCTGTGGAATGCAGTGCCTTCCTTCTCTCCCAGCCGCTGTCAAGACCAGACCTGGGGTGGGGGATTGGAAGCAACTTTTGCTTTGCCAATGGCTGTACTGTTGAAAATAAGCGCCGCTAAGCACTGTTGCCTTTGCTCTAGCATACTGACTTTCCAAATCAAGGCATTTTTAAAATTATAGAGTTACTTTCTGAGAGTCCTTCCATCTGCTGTTGATTAGATTATCTGGTTCACCTACTCATTAGTGGTTCATTGAGTGAGCCACAATAGTTTATTTCACCCATTGCACTAAAATGGAAACTATGATGTATCATAGCAATAGTTTCTATGGAAAACAGATCTGGGTTGCAAAAACCAGGATGGCCTAATGACGCAAATTCTGACTGTTTTCTGCAGTTTTGCAGCATGGATCTGTAAGCCCAACCATCAGACTACATATGGGGGTTGTACATTAGGCGATATCCTTTAATACAATATTTCATTGGGCATTGGGATATATTCTTTTTTCTCTCTCTATTCTTCTACATATTAAACCTGGAGCAAACAATCACATTGAAACTTAAGTCTGTTATATTAACTTGAAGGGTTTTTTTTAATGAGGAAAGATTCTTGCTGAGTCTGTTCTGTTCAAGTCAGAAAATAGAGCAACTTACACAATATTTTTTTCAATAAGTTCAAAAGTAACTGATTGGGATCAAATTTGTATGGAAATTTCAGCAGCCATTCAAAGACCTGCTTATTCTCTAAGACAGCAGAACTCAACCCTTGTAATAGGCCTGAAATAACTGTTTGGTGTTCCGTTTTTAGACCAGTGTCAAGATTCAGAAAGCCAGACCTTTTACCAGATTGGGGATTCATGGGAGAAGCATGCCCATGGAGTGAGATATCAGTGCTACTGTTATGGCCGGGGTATTGGAGAATGGCACTGCCAACCTTTGAATACAGGTAAGAATCCAAATCTATGAATGAGAGAGACCACATGACTTATTTTCACATGACTTATGGTATGCTTTCTGAGTACCTTATAATATGACTTTTAAATCACCATTTTAAGTAGAGAGAGAGAGAGAAATAAATTCAGAAGTCATTGAGTCAAACATAAAGATCCCATAATTACATCATTGACTGTGCTAATCAGATGTATGACTACTCCTTTAAAAATGTAATGTTACACAAAGTATAGAAAAGAAATAAGAAATAGTCAAAGAACTTGATGTTTCCACTGTGTCCATATAACAATCTATCCATTGCCCTGTGCTCTTTAAAATTCTCATGCTTTTGTTTGTGACGAACTCTACATATTTTCCTCTCTTCCCTTTCCTTTTGACATATTCACTCTACTTCAAATATTTGTTTTGCAGTTTGAGCCTCTTTCATTCTCCTTATGTGGCCCAACCAGCTCAATGTAACTTATTTGTACTGGTCACTCACTTTTGTACTTAGTCCACATTCAGTCAGCATTCTTGAATTAATTCTTGAATTAATTCAGCTTAATTTAATTAATCTTTCTTGATCATTTTTGCATGTATTTTTACACACTGATGCCTATTACACTGAACTATTATTTCTCTTCTGGCACATACAACTCTCATTTCTATTTAACAAAGTGGGCAGAAACAAACTCATATGCAATCATTTCCACTTCTTTCTACAAACATAACACCACATACTACTGATACTTTTTGGCATCATTTGCAAATTTCTCCATCCATTTCCCCATTTTTAGTAACTTGCGGTTTCTTATCAGACAACTGCTTTGACCTTTGAAACATTAATTTTCAGACCATTCTCCTTATTGCATCTAACATTTGCTGCAAATCCTTTAGGTTCTCAGCCAACAATAGCATAGCATCAGCAACATTACTTATATGTTTATCCATAAATATATTAAAAAAACAAGAGGACATCACACCTTCTTGTCTTACCTCCTGATCAATTTTGAATCATTGTTGAACTGTTCACACTTGCTTTACTTCCCTCCTATAGCAATCAACCTTTGACTTCATATTCACCCAGAATGTTCTGTAATTCAAACCTATCATATGCTTTCTCTGAATTAACAAATGTAAAATACATTCTGTTTTGCATATTTAATACGTTTCTCAGTGATCTGAAAAGTAAACTCAAATCTGTGTTGTACTTTCCTATTTTTGCTTGTTATCAAATCTCATACCTTTCAGTCAGAAATCTGCCAGACATCTTCCCAGGCACATTTAACAAGTCAATCCCCTGTAGTTTTTACATTCAATTTTGCTACCTTTCTGTTTGCAGAAAGAGGAACAGTAATGCCATTCTAATCCTCGGCTATAGATGCAATCTTCGTACACATAAGTCGCATAACCAGTCATTGAATAAACTTCACTCATAATTAACATGGCCTCCAGTTTCGTGCCTGCAGCCTCATCATTTTCAAAGATTTCCTCATCATTTATGACTCTTTTCATCAGATTTATCTTGGAGATTAACAAAGAATTCACTTAAGTTTTGCTTTTTGACATATTTTTATATTTCCCATACAAATATTTAAAATATTTTTTCTAAGCATTCCCTCACTTAGTCTCATTCCAAATCTTTCTACATTTATTCAGTTGTCTCTGTTGGAGGTACCTTGTTTTGAAGCCTTTTCACTCATTTTTAAAATACTGGCCTATCCTGCATTCAGAATTTCTCCTGACCTTTTATTCTGTCAGTCTTTCATCATAAACAATCAATCCTTTTTTGTATGTTTATAGTAATAAACATACTTAAGCATTTGAAAAAAAGCAGACTGTTTTTGAAGCAGTTGCTCAACAGTCACCACTCTAATTCATTCTTGGGTTGCCAAACAGCCCAATCAGTTTTTCTGTACTCTCCCATCTCATTCCCACCCATCCATTTTTGTCACCTAACAACAATTTTTTTTTGATCTTCAATACATTCATTCAGAATACTGAATTTTTCCCAGATCTCTGTAGTTGATCTTCCAATATTACCACTGACTGGAACTTAATATGCAACTAATCTAAAGGACATAATTCAATTTTTCAAGGCAAGAGCCTTTGAGTTCATCTGCAATTAGTAATTTGGCCATGATCTCATTATAAATGGGGCAGAGGAGGAAATAATGGATAATGTCCTCTGCTTGACCAACATCACAAGGACATAGGCATTGTTCAACAGGGACCTTACAGAATCTCCTTTCAAATAAAGCTAAGGGCATGGTCTATATTTTTTTTTCTTTTTTTTAATTATAAATTTTTTATTAATTTTTGTAATTGAACAGCAAATACCAATATGATGCATTTACATACACAAGCAAAAAAGATAATCCTACTCAATACATTTTCGGAGACGCTCGGCAGTCCCCACCTTGCCTCCACCCTCATTCACTTTCCTCTCCTTCCACCCCCTAGACCCACAACCTCTCCTCCTTCCTCCTTTCCACCTCCCTACATCCCATCTCCCTTCTTAACCATCTCATTGAGTGCAGTTTGGGGTACCAGCCGAGCATCTCCTCTTTTCAATACAATTCCATTATTTACCTATAATATTTAAATATATCAATTTTTATAATTTCCCCCTAATCCTCTTCCCCCCTCCCCCCCCGGACTTCCCAGAACTGAGTACAGGAATAATCACATAATAATCCAAGTTTAACCCAAACAACCCATTCATAATGTAAACAAGTATAAACTTACTGTAACTCTAATATACAATCAACTTAACTGTAAACTATATATATAAATTATATATAAAAATATTTATAAGTAACAATAATTAATCAGAAGCTATATGATAATTGTTCATTTCATATTTTCTCTGAATATAATCTATCCATCTTCTCCATACCAAAATGAATTTCTCTTGATACTGATCCTTCAGGTATGCGGATATTTTTGCCATTTCTGCAAAATATGAGACTTTCTGTCTCCAATCATCCATAGTCGGTAATATCTCCTTTTCCCAATGCTAAGGGCATGGTCTATAGATTCCTATTTTCATGAGCATCCAGAACAATCTAGTTGGTACTAATTCATACATTTTGAGAGATTTTAGATCTTTCATTTATTTCCCTGCAAATATTCATTAATTCCATTCCGCAAAGTCAGGCTATCTTCATTCTGTTTTATTACATCCTTCCATTTCTCTTAGTTATATAGAGACACAACTTACCAGCATACTTCTGTCTGTATCACACCTATTACAAAGTGAATATGTGCCAGCGATATATTCAAGTATGCATGCTGTTTTTGCTCTCATGTATTTAGTTCATACAAGGCTATTGAGAAATATAGAAAGATCAAGCAGAGGAAGTGCTATAGCAAGACAAGACTCTGCATGGAATGTACCATTGATAGCTGAGGTGGCAAACATTGGGAAATCCTATCAGTGACTGGAAAGGGCTGGACTAAAAGACAGCACCAAGGCACCAATCATAGCAGCCCAAGAACAGACACTAAGCACCAGATCCATAGAAGCAGGGATCTACCACAGTAGGTAGGATCCAAGATGCAGAGGCCTCAGACACAGTCCAACACATAGTGGCAGGGTGTAGGATACTGGCAGGAACAACATACACTGAGTGGCACAACTAAGTAGTTGCATTGTGTATAGGAACATCTGTACAGAGTATAGGCTAGACCCGTGGTGGCGAACCTATGCGCATGAATAGTGGGAACTGGAGAGGGCAGGAAAACCGAATCCAACAGCGCTCTTGCGAGAACAGCTACGAGAGCTGGGCGGGGAGAGGGGAACCTATAAAAGCAGGTTTTGATAGGAGTGCAGTGAGAGAGCGAGTGAGCGAGTGAGCGAGCAGATGGCCTTTGGAAGCGATGGTGGGCATGAGTTTGGAGAAGACAAGTAGGACGCGGTGTCCGTTGCGCTTTGCAGAAGGCTAGCGGAGGAAGGAAGACACATAAATTTGGACTTTGGAGAAAGAGGGAGAGAGAGAGAGAGAGAGGAAGGAAGAAGGAGGGGAGGGAGAAGGAAGGAAGGCCGGGCCCGCCAGTGCCACTAGGCAGATGCGCAGCCAGGCCTGCCCAGGTGACGCCGAAGCCAGCCAGCCCTTCTGCAGGAGCGTGGGGGAAGGGGAGAGAGCGGCTACCCCTGAACACCATGCCTGCCTCCCTTTGGGCTCCCTTGGCCTCTCCCCCCCTCCAGGCTGGGGCTGGTCAGATTCCCCCCATGGCAGCACTGCGCCTGTCCCCGGCCAGCCCTCCATCCTCCTCCTCCTGTGGGCGGACTGCGGCTTACCGAGCCGGGCAGCGCCTCTCCCCGCACACGTCCTCAGGTGGAGGAGCCAGGCAGCCATGGCTCTCGCTCCCCTCTGGCCTCCATCTGCCCGAGGCCCTTGCTCAGCGCGCCTGGCTGGCCAGCAACGGGCTGGAGAGCGCGGGATGGCGGCAGTTGCCCCGGGATGAGGGGTAAGCGGGGTGGGCGCTCCCAATGTTTATAGGGGAAGAAACCACGTGGAGTCTCCGTGCCCAGCCCTGGCATGGCACAGAAAGCGAGGCAGCAGCCCCACGCGCATTCCCATGCGCGAGTGTGCCCCTGCCCTGCCAGGCAAGTGGAGCCATAGCAGCTGCCCACCTGCGCTCTTCTGCTGTAGATGCTGTGGCTCTGCTTGCCTGGCAGGGCGGAGCGCGCTTATGCCAGGCAAGCAGAGCCGCAGCATCTGCGGCAGAAGAGCGCAGGTGGGCAGCAGAAGGCATGAGGAGCCCCAATCCCAGCACAGACCCTCCCCACTCTCCTTCCCCCCCTCAGAAGAGCTGCGGGGCTCAGGAGCCTCCCCCCATGCCCTCCAACCCCCACAGGAAAGAAAACCATCGCGAGAAACTCTTCTGTTTTAACTTTTTTTCCTTGTCGCTTTTTAGAGTTTTCATCCTGCTTTCGTGAGATGGCAGCATTTGGGAAGGGGTGTAGCTGCCCCCTTCCCCCCCAAGTCACCAGCTGAGCAAGACGCCCTG